AACAGAAAGGAAAACCCCCAGAAAAAAAGGAAAAATAATTTTATCGTATTTGTGGCATGTATTCTGCTCTACATAGCTGGAATTTTGTTTTTAATTTTCTTGTGAAAGGTTAACCAGTCATGTGACTCCCCCCTCTAGCTCCTCCCCCCTGCTGCCCGGGCTGGTTGATGTTCGCCCTTCATCCCTGCAGGTGGCGCTGTCGCACCTCAACGCTGCGCGCTGACCGGCCGAAGAAGACCAACTCAAACGTGTATCAGCTGAGCTGGCTGATGCTAAAACTGTTCTTGCGTCTTGTCATTTTTCGACACAATTTACTGAGATGGAGAATGACATCCTGGTCTCTCTAGAAGATTTAGGGTAAGCGCAAAAACAAGATGGTGCCTCCCCCGTTTGAGGTGTACGTTCACAGCCCACACTGAAGTCTAGTTTTAGCTGAATGCACACACGGAGGCAGTGCTTTCTTTTTGCTAAACGGCTTATGGCTRATGAGACGAAACGGTGTGTTGTATGAAATGTGTTAAATTGCTTCTTATACGCCGTTTAACTCCACACGRGGTAAGACGAGCCTCAGACTGGTTTTATTTAGCGAGCTGCGTCAGCAGAAATAATAGCTTCAGTCCGCGGCTGTCACTCAACCAGATCAGGATTCACATTGTAGGAACGAGATTAAGACGAGGGTTAAAATCAACACAATGACACAGTTAATAACTTCTCTTAAAACGACAAAGTTTATAGATAACTCCTCTGCTGTGTTTATATGTGATAATACGCAATCTTTCTCATCATTAGATTCATAATAGGGTTGGACTCCATGATACGTGGACACTCCTAGATTTTGTGCAACACTTGAGTTTGCCTCTTTCTGTAGGGATGTGGATAAATTTTTAATCCTACACCAATATTAAATCTGACAGCGGATTCCAAAGGAACATTTCAAACCATGCAATGCATTGATGTTTGTTTAGGTGAAATCAGCTCATGTTTTCTGCAGTTCACAGCAGAACCAATGGAGCCTCTGTGACCATTTCACCTTGATCTTTTCCATTTTTGCTCATAACATAAGAGATCGACATGAAATTTTAGGAAAAGATTCACATTCTGGTTTTTGTAGGAAGCATCTTGTACCGTAAAATTCTAATTAATAATAGCCAATTCAAAAGTAGCAGAAAAGGTATAAAATAATATTACAAGGCAAACTGCAGCATTAAATCAACTTAATGTTTCTTAGAAAGTAAGGAAATGAAAACAATTTAAAACCCATGTGGACATTTGTTTTGTAAACAAAACTCCTCAACCAATGACAGCGTGTTAAATGTGTCAAGTGACGAAGACGAGCATCAACACACTTTGCTAACAAGCGCTATTCCGGATTAAAAAAAACATACGTCAACGTTTGAAATCATGATTTGATTTGATTTGATTTATTTATTTAACAGGTTGCTGTTTTACAGCAGGTTCCTGTTCTGCAGCACATAAAACTCTCAGAATTACAGCATCACA